AACCGTCTAGGGACGCTTCCATTTGGTGGATTACGGTGATAAGCCTTTGCGCCTCTTCGACTAATTCCTTCTTTTCTACCGTCACCTGTTTCACTTGATTGTTCAAGGTCTCCGAGAGCGCTGCGAAGAGCTTTGGGGTTCTCCTATTAGTTTTTTGTCGACGCAATCGATTTAGTGTAGCTCACCTCCGATTCTCTGGTTTCGCGATCATGACTAGTAACGCCAATCTCATCGAAGAGGCCATGGAGCTGACCGATTATGGTATTAACCTGCTGGGAAAGATAGCTCGCGTCCATCTTGAATGCGATACCAATAGAAGATGGCCAAATGGCTAATTGTTTGTATTCATGAATTGTATCAAAGTTTTGTTAGGAATGTCAAGCAGATTTGAAGCTTGCAAGCGGCGACGCACCGGCCCTACCGCAGATTGTGGCTCAATATTAGAGAAATCTGGTCGAGTTAACGAATGAGTCTTTTCTGGTTATGCAACCTAGAAGCTTGGTGAGGTCAGTCGGCGCATTCCAGGCGATCAAGTTACGCCAAAGCGATTTCGTGCGTTTTTCGTGCGTTTTGCATGCGCAAGTGGCCTCCGGAGAATATTTTTGCAAAGGGTCAAATGCAAATGCAAGTGATGCAAGTGATGCAAGCGATTTCGCAGTTGATAGTTGATAAGATGATGTGTCTCGCTTTTAGAGGCCGGCCGAGACGTTGTCTAAGAAAAGCAATATGGAGGGGAAGATGAAGTAAACCCATTCAGGCAGATCAACAATCGAGCGCAACTTATTATTTGCCAGTTTCCCGCTAGACATCTCCACTATTGTTACATGGGTTGTCGCCACGGCAACTACTCTATTTAGCTCAATACAGCTCCTGCCGTTTCAGTTGTGCCCCACTTAGAATCAAGATTCCCCGTGTAGCCCTATCGATAAATATCGACTGCCTCCAATCAAAACAAACGTTGGTTTCCAAAAGCAGGCAAATTCGATCCCGTCACATCTTTTTATGTACCTAACATAGTCCTGCGAGGAATCTCATCTGCATGCACGCGTCGAGGCGAGGGATCCTACCCGCATGTCTCGGACCTAGCCCGTTTCCTATGCAACCTATGCAATCTATGCAACCTATGCAGCATATCAAGCCACAAACACCCGGTAACAACAACCCCATATCCTGCTTTTTTCCTTTTTTCCTTTTTTCCTGTGGATCACGACAAGGTTGGCGGCGCATAAGTCTTCGAACGTGTAGGTATCGAGAGCATGATATTCAAACAAAACAATAGTTAGACTGCATATACGAATGCGCCTAGCCGATTATCTCTACATATGGATAAACGTAAACTCCGCGCAAAGAAGAAAGAAAACATGTTACCGAGACAGTTCATAGTGCTCTCCCTTTTCAAGTCATGTTTGAATTATAGCATTTATTACCTACCTACCAATATACTTCGGCCCGTTGCAGTCTCGCTTAAGATTACATGTTAGTGTCCCAACTCTTTGTTTACTTGTGCTACACAATAGGCATCTTTAACAAGAGACGCTTATGTCTTTACGTAATCTTCCACTTTATAATACTAACAACAAACCCCATGCCTTTTTTTATTATTAATGGTTATGTTATATAGATCAGCGAAAAGGATAGAAATCACCAAGACTTAAGTACCTAAAGTATCCCAGATTTTCCTAATTCCTTAGGTTGATTCATGGGAATCAAGTGGCATGTTGAGGCTTTGCTAGATGTATAATAGGAGCTTTAGTAACAACAACTATTATACTATACTCCATGTTCTTGTAAATCGTGTATCAGTAACATAGATGGAGTCAGCTCAAGCCAGAGCTTGCACTGAGGTAGAGGTAAGCTAAGTTGTTGGTACCGCGATATGTAAGATGATACCAGGATGGTGAATCCATGACAATACAAACGCCGCTTACAAAAATATAATCATATAACTTGACTACGCCGTTTAAGCAAATAATAATAAACTTTATTATTAGGTATATATGCCTTTGGACTGAGTTAGGCGATTTTAACATAAGTGTTATTAAATATAGATGTATGACTCACCGTGTATGAGCAATCTTTGGGTGAAGTTATTAAATTAACATAATATGTAATATATTATTGATGCTAGTTAAACTACGAGTATTCACAATGTCTATAAGAGAATTCAGAATAAAAGCCAATATTACAGGATTGCATAGTGATTAACAAGTTATTTCATGATCTGTCGGCTTATATAGTTGGCCTTGCTAGAGGTTCCTTGCTACGTTGTGTCTATCTCTTGGACTTGCACTTGAACATGATACAATGTAAACAGAAATACTTGCAAACATATTCTATTAGATATTGATCATTGTAACTTACGCAACTAGACAGCTACATTTTTCATACAACCTTGAAAGCTTTTGCGCCACGAGCTATTAGTGACTGTCTGTACAATGGTTTGAAGCAATTTGTGTTGAGGGTTCTTTACTGAGTTGCGCTTTGTTGTTCATACCAAAGTTTCACAAATAGTAATAACAACTAACAGATGTTGGCTTGTTAAACGCACAGTTTAAATAGAAACCCTTATGTTACTTCAACCTATGTTGGTAGTGACAACATTCAGAGGTTTGAAGTCAGTAGGGTTAGTTAATGACATATCATCATTTCTGTATACAGCAGGGTGACCTATTCGTGGAATAGATTCATCGTCCCTAGATGGCTCAAGAGGTCGTAATTTTGCGACGGGGTATGCTTTAATACGATATGCAACCGGCCAATCAGCAAACCAAACATTCTCGTGACAGCATGTCTTCTGAGTTCTTCCCACGTCATTCCTCGTCCTTCTCCCATCACTGATTCTCATCACTCATTCTGGTAACTGCAACTACCAAGTAATTCAGGGTTGAATCACTGCAATACGTACTTTTGTTAAACCCCGCGGATCACGGCGTGAGCGACAGTCAGGTGGGCTTGCGAGGGACAGTGAGTCTTCAAAAGGACCACAAGCATACGGAAATGGTTTCAGCTCTACTACATAAACCAATCCTCCTTTTCCAATTCTGCCGACCCTAACCATCCTTCAACAACAAATTATGGCAACATCACCATATTCTCCTCTGTCGTATAACCTTCATCAAACTGCACTACCTTCATCATGCGTATGATCAAAAACATTCTAGGCAGCCTAGCCATGGCTGGGTTCGTCATTGCATGTGGCAACGATACGGCAACTACTAGCACTCCAACCAACAGCGCCCCAACCAACAACGCCTCAGCCAACAGCACTCCAGCTAACGGTACCCCAACCAATGGTACTCTGACCAACGGCACAATACCTTTACGAAATGTCGTATACTTCGACCAGTACGTGTCACTTTCACCCCTAATGCCATGATAAACTAACATAATTTCAAGATACCACACGGCCATGCTGCCAGGCAGAGACGTAACGGCAGGTATAACCCACGTCATCATGGCCTTTGCCAACTCATCTCTCTTCGCCGCTGAGACGGTGGGAACTTACGAGCCGTTCATGCCACTTGACAAGGTCCGCGCCATGTTCGACAACGGAACTCAGGTCGGCATCGCGATCGGCGGATGGGGCGACACGGCCGGCTTCTCGAAAGGTGCCATGTCGGAGGAGAGCCGCAGCACATTCGCCAAAAACGTCGCGACGATGATAGAGACCCACGGCTTCGACTTCGTGGATATCGACTGGGAGTATCCTGGCGGCAACGGCGCCGACTACAAACAGACTCCTAATTCGGATAAGACAAGTGAGATCACGACCTTCCCGCTGTTCTTACAACAGATCAAGAACGCCATCTCCCCCAAGCAGCTCTCGATTGCCGTCCCTGCCATGCAGCGCGATATAATGGCCTACTCAGGGCCCCAGGCACCGTCGATTTTCGCTGCCGTGGACATGGTCAACCTGATGTCTTACGACATGATGAACCGTCGCGATGGCACAACTTCACACCACACATCCGTTAAAGGGGCTATTAACGCCACCAAAATGTACCTGGACCTAGGCCTGCCGCCCTCCAAGCTCAACCTCGGCTTCGCATACTACGCGAAATACTTCATGACGCCACCTGACGCGAACTGCACCCAGCCAATCGGTTGTCCCGTCGTCTCGGCCGAGAACGGCGACGGCTCTGATGCAGGTACCTCGGGGGCCATGACTTTCGAGAAGGCCCACGTGCATCCCCCGACACCGCCTCAGAACATGGCTACGTCTAACGACGGCACCTGCGGCGCTGGCACGAGCTTCAAGTGCCCCGAGGGTACTTGCTGTTCTCAATACGGATCCTGCGGCTCCACGACCGAGTACTGCGGCATGGGATGTCAGTCCGCATACGGCATCTGCAAGGCCCCGGACGTGATCGCTTCATTCGGCAAGGCGCTTGCGAACGGCCAGCTTGACAACACCGAGGGCGGTATGTGGTACTGGGACGCGGACAGCAAGCTGTTCTGGACCTGGGACTCGCCGGAGTTAATTGTCCAGAAGGTTAGTGGGATTGTCGCGCCTATGAAGCTGGGTGGCGTTATGGCTTGGAGTCTGGGCGAGGACAGCGATAGCTGGGAGCATGTCGGGACCGTCGCGGCGGCTGCTAGGGTCTTTAGCAAGCCTATTGCCATCCAGGAAAGGAGTGACAAGGGGAGCTTGCGCAGACGGACTGCGAAGCCCCATAGTCATGGCCATCGATTCGCCCATTAGGGGCCAGGGGGAATCTTCTCTGATGAGGATATCAGACACTAGGATTCGGAGCATTGGAGGTTGGGGATTAAGCACGGATTTATGTGCTCGGGTTTTAAGATATCCCAGTTAGCATGCTGGCCATTATTCTCTTCGCGGAGTATATTGCCACCTTAACTAGCCATACGTAAATAACATCGGTTGGCTAGATTTACTGTATGACAACTACCTCTTGTGTGATGATACTTGATAGTGAATGTTTGCGTAGAGTGGATGAGCTGAATTGATGTCTCGATGCTGCTTTCCCAGCACGATATCCTTAGACGCTTTCAGACACCTCCTTCGTGTCCTTTACGAGATCCTGGTACATAGCAGCCCGTTTTTCCAGACTAGAGCTAGTATCTTTCCCAAGGGGGAGAACGAGGCTTAACTTCTTCCCGAAGAAAACCCCCGTGCCGTCAACCGCCTCGATGATTCGCTGCGCGACAGCGGCTGGTTTCGAAGCCGAATCGAGAGATGCGGGCGAAAGGAGGAACTGCTCTACCTGCTCGAGAACAGTGCCTTTGTAAGTCTCGCTCAAGGGAACTGTAGCGAGTGAGTTAGCGATCACTTCGAAATATGAGAAGTCTGAGTGACTTTTGATACGTACGGTGAACGCCTGCGCCGGAAGGCTCTCGCGCCTCGGTATCCATATTTCCAGGGATGACGAGTAATGTGCGAATATTGAACGCGGCGACTTCTGCCTGGAGCGTCTCGGTAATACCTTGACGTGGTCAGTTCGTCCGGGACAAACACCAAACTGGGTAGGGGGCTAGAAAGAGGACGCTTTACCTCCAAGAGCAAACTTGGTTGCTGCGTAGATACCTAGACCCGGGACCATCTCCAAAGTTGACGAGCTGCTAACGTTGATGATGGTTCCCGAACGGCGTGCCCTCATAGAAGGTAGAACGGCCTTGATCGTACGTAGAGGGCCTAGGAAATTGGTCCTGAATATACTATCGATATGGTCGAAGCTATCTCATAGTATTAGTTATGTATATTATTTCGCTCTAAGACCATAATTTCTGGGTGTTGGCCTACTCCGTGTCTTCAATGCTTCCAAGCATGATCCATCCGGCGTTGTTAATTAGGACGTCTATTTTCCCATGGAGCGCAACGACAGACTGGACCTGTGATTCCACGTCGTCCCCAGCCATCTCGAGCTGGAGCCATGTTCCGCCGAGGGCTTCGATCTCTGCGAAGGCGGGAGTTTTGGCTTTGTTACGATAGCCTGCGATGACCGTGTGTCCAGCTTTCAGGGCAGTTCTGGCTATGTCGAGCCCAAGGCCACGGGAAGCTCCTGTCACAAGCCAGACTTGTTTCTCAGCCATGGTGATCAAAAGGTATTAGTTAGGATAGATAATAATGTATTAGGTGTTGGAATTCGAATTTGAGGGTGAAGTGATCCTGTCAATATTTGGTTCAACTTGAGCAGCTATGAATTGGGTTATATAGACATTTAAGCTATTTACTTCTAGACCTACTAACTATAGACTCTCATTACTTAACTATCGATGCCTGTGGGTTCACTTACGATATGCGTCGGAATTACAGAAATCAGCATGACTGTTTTCCCATTATGTTGGTGATGTTCAGCTTAACCCGACGGGAAAGGTTATAGTCCGAAAAGATAGCGTTTTGATGATACTAGGGACCCCAGTGCTAGAATGACATACATTCATATACCTTTCTTCATATTGACCAAGGTGTCCTTATCCCGGATTAATACGATAGCGGCGGGATATGTTAAAGGTCTGTCCGTCTATTCCCAAGGTCAAGCATTTGATCTATCCGAGCAGTCCCAGAACTATTATATCATTTCCACAACAAGTATAGTAAAGTCAATAATTTGGCTTTGTAGTTTTCACTTGGTAGTTAGTTGTTCTATTCATCTCCTTTAAATGCGGCTTGGCTTAGGGAGGTAAAGATCCGGGGAGAGGTTTTGTCCGTCGGGGACGTGAAGCGCCGTAGGAGCCATGGCTTTACTTATTATTAATACTCGAGTCAATTAGTAATTAGATTCTGCCGAGTATTTTGGATTGATGTTTTTGGATTGATCCTATGGTTCTGAATAAGGAATATCTTAACCTAGGTAGGTACCTAGTCAAATGGATATTGCGATGCATGAAAAGGTTAGTGCTCTAGGTTATATATGTACGTAAAGGTAAATATCTTATTATCCCGGAAAGAAGCTATAAAGAGTGATTTAACCCCACTTTTGTTACTATCTTAGCAATTTCTCTAGGTTAGGTTAGTCCTTCCCTTCTTCCTTCCTAAGAGCATTCGATGTCTAAAACTTCCTGTCGGTTGAAACTCGGTGATATACTTTGGTGCCTGCAATTTACATAATCTCGGGGCGAATTGTACATACCTAATGCACCTAGTTACAACTAAATTCTTGGGAGAGAAGGTTCTGTACATAACATAAGGTAATCGCCAAATGTTCTCAAGTTCCCAATATCAACAACATCACCTCAAATCCTTTCTCCGATGTTCATACGGTGACACTCATCTCTAGCTTGCCTACTACTGGCTAGATGGGCAAGCCTCCGCGACGATGCGGGAATTCATGGATTACATCCAGTCGGTCTTTTATGCTGCAACAGGCTGGAATCGTGATAATAGCTATTCTTCGCTCAATGCGACGTCCGATGCTCTTCTGAACTTTCCGACGCCTCGTGGTCTTCGCCTAACCCTATCTTCTCTCGCAACATCGCAATTCGCTACTTCGTATCAGCTCGGCACCGTGGGTGTTGTCGACGGCTCTGTATCATACTTATACTCAACGGTGCCTCTCAATAATGCCATCGCCCAGAGTGAAAAGATACCCTTACCAGACCTTTTACGGAGTTACCGCCCACTTGCCGAGTTACCTCGTCGAGCTGAGGAAGGAGGACAGCTAGAGGGAGGGTTGATCAAAGATGGACTTGCATATGGGAGACTTTATCTCCCTGCGTCCATGTTGGAGGCCCTGGTAGTTAGGAGGATTTCGCCTACGTTACAGTTCCAGCTTAGTGCCGTGTCAAATCAAAAACTACGGAATGGAGGTACCATGCTGGGCATGGTACAGTACGACAAGGGTCGCTATGCGGTTGAGGGTCTCGCATCAACCGACGGTGGTTTGCTTGGAGCGCGCGCGTTATATAATTCCGGCGGTGATGTGGCTCACTTAGATACACAAACGCAACCAGCGACTACTAATGGGAACGGGACGGGTAACGGCGAGAGAGAGCGCATTTTCGGCCGGTTCAGCACTGGTGCCGAGTTCTACTACGGAACGCTAAACAAGTCAGGAGGGATGAGTGTTGGAGCACGATTTGCGACGCTGCCTACGCACAAAGGTACTCCCCTCACTGCGACAATGACAGTCAACCCCTTGATGGGAACTATTAGTTGGAGCTACGCAGTCATGGCTGGTAGTTATTGTTCGCTTGCATCGAGGATGGATTTCAATGTTTACAGTTATGAAAGTGACTGGGCTGTGGGTATGGAGCTCTGGAGAAAGAGAACGGCCTGGTCTATCAACCAAGAATTGGAAGAAGTACCAACGCCAGTGAACATCACGCCCGAGAGGGGTTTCCAGGAGAAATTGGAATGGGAGTTAGATGGCCCTTCGTTACCCTTGGACGCGGCTGAGATTCTATCACCACCGGAGCCAGTCGCTCAGTCAAAGAAGGAGAGAAGCTTCCAAGCTAAGATGGAGTGGAGGTTAGACGATCCTGATGTGGATTCGACAGTATCAACCACCAATGAGAATGATGATGATGAAAACGATGATCAGTATTCGGGGGTTTTGAAAGCGCGCCTAGACCAGCATCTCAGGGTTGGTCTTTTATGGGAGGGCCGAGTCAAGTCTTTGCTTTTTAGTCTTGGCAGTAGTATTGACCTACGGCGACTTGACTCGCCTTTCCGCACACTTGGACTCGAAGTACAATTCTCGGCATAAATATGCCAATAAGATAAGCCTAAACCCTCCAAAATGGCTTTTGTGGCGATTAATCAGCGTGTCTGTGTTGCTGTTCAACCCGAATGTGCGACATCATTGCTTGACAATGGATTGGTGACACGGTCGCAATTACGTCCCTGATAGTACCCTGACCAATCTCAGGGGCTGACGTGTATCGACAGCATCCTTCCTGAGGCATTCTTCCCGTACGATGGACCTATACTATACTGTGGTCGCACCGATAAAAGAAGATTTGCAACCATGAGAAGAGAAGCGGATTATATATTATTTTCCGGGCCATGATACCTCTCTCGGTGACCCCGGGGTTAAAATACCTTGATGTCTACCTACGTAACCTAGGTATGTAGGATAATTCGACTGGACCCCTGATGCGTCTTTAACGGCCTTCAATGCGTTCTCGACCACATAACGAACACCTTTGTTGTTGCATGCAGTAATGGGACCCAAGAGACCGGGCAGTCTAATTGGAATATCTCCATAGATACTCGAACCACATGTGGTGTCGCTTTAGAACCTCGCAACTTGGCACGCCACTATGCTGTCGCAAGGACAACCACCTGCCCGCCGCGGTCATGGGTTTGAGCTCCCTCTGTTACCATTGACGGCTTTGCCCTGTGCTGAGAAAGGGGTCGTATTGGAAGAAGCTTGTTGAGAGGCTACTGGTCTAAGATATATTGACCTAATTTCTCGGCATGTTGTGGTGCAACACGAGCTCCTTAGGATTTACCGAGCCTTCGCTTTGCTTCTTGTATGTCGAGAGCAAAATTGGTGTATAGTATGAATCATGATAGATATGACTCTTGATCATGACTGGATGCTACATAGCTTAATCGACTAGAAAATGCCATGTATAGCAAACTCTGCACCATAGCACAGAGATGAGATAGGAAGATTAAATCCCAGGAGACTGGATCATTTTATTTCTTCAGCTATGATAAGGCATTGATTCATGATGTGCTGTAAGTTTTGATAATCAACTTAAGATGGGGGGGTTAGGTTAGGAGGTTAGGAGGTACTCAGGTACAATCCATTGATGCGCCAAGTTGAATATTGAAGTTCAGCTGTGGGGGTACGTACTGGAGGCTGAGAACCTTGATGGCTAGCTGAGATAGGATCTCGGCATGAGAACCCTGATGGATAGGCTAATGCACGGAACCCCTCTAAAAATGCCTACCAACTGACGTATCACGAGCCGGGAATCTGGAGATAGCTTAGTCATGACCTGTATACTTACACCTAATTGGACGACTTCGTACAATATGGATAATGAATAAAGGGTCAACCTATTCAATGAAAGAAATACCGCCGAAAAAAAACACCTGATCTTAGGGGTTAGGACAAAGCAGATTTTTTTCTTATAGTTTCTGCTGTGTGTTGGTGGTACAGGATGAGCCTTGAACCTTTTTGGTAGAAACATGAGGCTTAATATATTAGCTTTCAGCCCTGTCAAATGACGTTAAGTATGTCACGAGAATATTATACATCTTTCCGGTAAAAGTTGGGATTGCCTTTTATCACGGCCCGCACCTATAGTAGTATGTTACCTCTTTAGTCAAAATGGTAATGAAGGTACCTACAGTACCTAATGAAACAGTAATAAGTTTAAAAAGGATATCTGCATCAGTGCATACAGAAAAAAGGCTTATTTCGTCCAATACCAGGAATTTCATCTTATTTCCTACGAAAATTGTAATAAGTGGTGTTTGTATGCACTTAGCTAGCCCATACCGAGCACCACGTGCATCACTGACCAATGAATCTAACTTGTTAGACCCACTCCATGTCTAGAGGTTTCTTTCCCTAAAATGGCTTACTCGCCCGACGGTAGGTACCTGGAACCTAACCGGTTCTGCTGACATTTATATCAACTTTGTGTAGTGCCAAACTCGGCTGTTGACCATCAAGGTTCTCGATTTTCCATGATAATGACACTTCCCGCCGTTTGTCTTTTTCTAAATCCCTCGTCGCCCGCCCTTGCTTGCCCACATAGTATTAATACTATGCCCAACTAAGCTTGCAAAGTACTTTGTAAATAGAGGAGCTGAACTAATGAACGTCGTGCATAATAAATTTGAAGGATGCTATGTCATTCCATCCCATCTCATCAAAACCTATCAATAGACAGGACGTGATTCACATACGGTTTCTATTCAGCTAAACCTGAAAGTTGTCGCACTTCTTGTTCCAATCACCCCACGCTGCTAACGGTCAGTTGCCCACGCGGATTAACGTCTCAGCTGCTCGTTGGAAGAGGACAACACTATCTCCCAGGTGGTATTTCCATATAATCTTTCACTTTCAGTACGCGATAGTAAATTCCCTACAAAGCTACAAAGTCTACGAAACTCAAGCGAGGACATCTACTTGGATCATATTCTATAAGATCGCGCAGTTTCTAGGAGTAGCATCGTCGAGACCTTCTAGAATATCCCGGAACACAGGCATCTACCAATAAGGAGACGTCTACTTTACGCTGATAGGACGCGCATATTGTCAACTCAAAATCGCGCTTTGGTTGACATCAACGTTGTTGCCTTTCTCCGATACCCTAAACTCTATCGTCTGTATTGACTTATACGCGCTTGGAGCACGAAAAGAAGAAAAATACCGAGGACCGGCTTTATTCACTGGACTGACGTCGTATTCTGACAAGCCCAGAGGTTCTTCTGGCTTGAAACGACAGGATACGAAATATTTCCCAATAGGTAAGGACCATTTCCTTCTCGTCAATTTCGACACGCCGTTCTGCTAGTTATTTCCATTGTTATGCGATCTGGTAAACCCCTGGAATGGATACGTAAAAGATTTCAAAGCTTGTTGGCGCGCATATGCCATCAAGGTCCTTATTTGCACTAGACCTTGGACCCCAACAAGCACTAGATTCTTTGAAATTCCTTTGCCTTGGACATACAATCCTATTGCTGTTCTCGATCTTTACCTATTCACTACAAAGGAGTCGTTGTACCTTGCTGGACACTCTCTATCCTACTATATTTTCACCCCTCTCCCTTGTCTTTGCGGCTACAGAAAAGCAATTTGCATAGTATTACCTTCATCATCCCGCTAACCTAGTACTTAGCCTCAGAACTTTGCGAACATCAAGCTGGTATATATACCATCCTTGCCCTCCTTCGTTGATATTTTTCTGACAGCCAGTTAGAGATAGGTTCACTCCTAGAGGGCCATCAAGATCACTGTATCTTTACCCCTGAGCTATATCGTGGCATCGGCCTTACTAGGCATTGCCCTTTTCTAAGATACAGAGACGTATACTCTCTATATCTTGACGAGAAAATCTTCCAAGATGTCGGTGTTACACACAGCTCTAGATTCTGTACTTCGTATACGACAGGAGGACGGTTCTTCCGATGCGGCCCCTAGATCCAGCTTTACCGTCGAGGTAGACTGCGGCACTGGTAACGAATACGATGGCCGAATGGGAGTGCGCATATCCTCTATCTTCGTTATCTTGGTTGGTTCGCTACTCGGTGCTGTCTTGCCCGTATACTTAGCTCGCGGCTCGAAGGTGAGAGTGAACGGAACGGCATTCTTCATCGCGAAATACTTCGGCTCGGGCGTTATCATCGGGACAGCATTCATGCATCTCCTCTCTCCGGCGTTTGATGCCTTAAAATCGCCATGTCTTCCAGATGGACCCATTAACGACTACGACTGGGCGGCTGGAATTTGTTTAATGACGGTCTTTGTTATGTTTACTATCGAACTTATTGCGAGCCGCTTTGACTTCTTCGGCCATGACCACGATGACGCGAAGGGTGCCGACCCGTCCCTAGATTTCCTTAAGAAGGGAAGCCAGGTCTCGCCGTCACCAATCCGGGACCTCGAAGCTGGCTCAACAAACAATGAGAATAAATCTGGGAACGTAACTGAGAATGGCTCAAGTTTACCTACAGACCTTAGCTATCCTCCTGGTGGTGAAGATCATCTGGGTCACCAACGTGAACACCACGATAGCGACAGCCATTCTGCTTTCGCCGCGCAAATGACGGCGCTTTTCATCCTCGAGTTCGGTGTCGTATTCCACAGTATCTTCATTGGTTTGACACTTGCAGTTGCCGGTGAAGAATTCACAGTTCTATATATTGTGCTCGTCTTCCATCAGACATTCGAAGGTCTCGGTCTTGGGTCGCGGTTGGCTACGGCACAGTGGCCCAGCTCTAAGGCATGGATGCCATATGCATTTGCGTTTGGATATGCCCTCAGCACCCCTATATCCATTGCTATCGGCCTGGGAGTGCGATCAAGTCTTCAGCCAGGCAGCCCGAAGAGCTTGATTATCAATGGCGTTTTCGACTCCATCAGTGCCGGTATTCTTATTTACACAGGTCTCGTCGAGTTACTCGCTCACGAGTTCATGTTTAACTCATACATGCGCAATGCGGGACTAAAGGTTCAGCTCTACGCACTAGGATGTGTCACACTGGGCTGCGGGCTGATGGCCGTGCTTGCGGAATGGGCTTAAGATTGGCCCGGAAGTCCGGAGGCCTTACCTAGTGGGAAAGAGAAGATATTAACGACAATTCTGCCACGCTATAGGCCTGTGCCTTGTCACAACTCACATATTAGATTTTCCTAAGTCAATCAGACTTGAATAAGCTATCAACTGCATAAATGTACATAGGAACTTTTCATGTTGATGTACGACTTACATGTTGTACTGACGAGAATTGTAAAAATGACACTGAATCACCAATATAATTAATACAATATTGATGAAAGGCATAGTTTTCCTATAGCGTATCTACTTCGTGAGCTCCTGTATATGTATTTCCTGTATATATATTTCGTCGTAAACAATTTCCTTGATAGATAACTCCTATCGAGCGCTCCCCCGTGCTTATAACCCCCCGAGCTAAATCTCCGAAGACAGCAAACAGTGATGACAGCCTCTGACATTTATTTTCGTCTCTTACGCACACTGACATATTCCCCCGCGCGCGCCACAATAAGACGTGTGTCAAATCAACATCTCGTACTCTTATCTACTACACCATCTTCTATCAGAAAAAGCAAAGAGCTCGGCACCCGGACCTTATATATTGGTCATAAACTAAGGGTCTACTATCTGCTAGCCTATGTATCATCTCTGGTAAATTAGGTACATACGTTGGCGGTTTGGCATTTATTTGCTACCTAGGTAGGTACCTATTATAATCGAGGTGTCATCGCCTATAGGTTACACGCGCATGCAGCTACGATGCGCTTTAAGTGCCTACATAGGTACGTGTTTCCAGCAGTTGGCTATAGCAGGTCCGCAATATGCTCTTGCCCTTCCGAAGTACAGCATCGAGCTAAATAACCGCACCTTCCTACATATATAGGTACCTGACCTATACCGGCAGCTACTGGACTCTGTGCTGCTGCCTACCTCCTATAAATCCCTCCTGCCACCTCTGGTTATCCCCATACCTTTCCGCCTCATCTACTCCTTTCTCTATTTTCTATTCTCTATTCCCTACGTGCCCGTTCATCCAACCTAGTAATCAACTAACACACACTTCTAACATTTCATCTCAGCCTCATAATCACCATCACCTTATTTGCCCTTCTTTGACGCTTTTACATGGTCATTGCGTGAACCCGAAGGTGATACCTCCCTACCTAATGTTGAGGATATTGCGATCCTAGAACCAATACACCATCGTCAATAACCCCAACTTGAACTCCTCGCCTTGAAACTGCGCACCTCATTTGAAGCTGTTTATTGAGTCCTTTTAATTTAGGCTTGAAAAGCCGTCTTTCCACATTTCAATCAGTATTCCCTAGTTAGCTTCTGGTTGTATAGAGTCCATTTCTTCCCGACTCATATACCCATTACAACCTGACGCCACCACCCCCTCTCCTTTGATTATCCCCCCTTTTCACAGTCAGGTGATATGGAGGGAAACAACTACATCGTGGCCGCGGATCTCGGCCTCAAGCCAATCCACCTGGCTTGTCTCCAGGGCGACTTTGAAGGGGTCATCAAGCTGGTTTCACAATCTGAAGATGTCCTTGAAACAATCACGGAGCCGAAAATTGGTACGGAATGGGGACTTCGTGAAACACCTATGTGAGTCTCTATCTCTCGAGTTTATTTGCCTATCATCATTCATAGTTACTTGCGCTATCGTATACTCTCGGGCTGAGAAATACCAACTAATTATGTTACAGCAAGCTCGCTGCCCTTATGGGGCATCTTGACATAGTCGAGTTTTTTATCCAGAAAGGCGTCAACTTAGTGTCTGACGGTCTATATGCCTCGTCATATACTAGAGATGAAGGCTTCGCAACGCGTAGACGAGAATTCTTTCTTAACACGGCTAAAGTAGGACGCGAGCATCTCGATGCTCATAATACACGCAAGACCATCTACGATCTTCTGACTTCTCAAGGCCGCCGAAGCGTTCTTAAATCAAGTGAGTAAAAAACAAAATAAAAAAGGATACCGTCTAGTTTGCTTGAAGAATTAATGACTGATGAATTGTTATAGTGAGAGGCCCGAGGGCTGACATAGGATTCCCTGATTATAGGCTGGCAAAGCAAGGAAGCCAGATTGTCGTATATGCTCCGGTCTATCGTGTCAAAACTGACATCCCTCTGGACAGAAGCAAGACTATTGGTCTTATCACTGCTAAGGGTAACAGTGAAGTACTTATGACTGCACACAGTGGTTATAAGCCTGGAGGCGACCGTGATGAGAAATGCCTCGACACGAATAAGTGGAATTATATTGCCCTCCATCACATTGCTGCCCTACTCAAGTTTCACTTCCCGGGAAATCAACGTGATAATGGGAACAAACCCGCCGAAGACGAACATCGAGGCCGTGCACACGCCGGACACGTTGAAGTTCTACTCGCATCATGGTATGCGCTTGAGATGACCCGAAAGTCAAGCGGGAATCTAGAAGCAGACAAGGATTGGCTTCTTGCTAATATGCATATGCTGAGGCATGCAACACTTGGCAGTGCACGTTCGGCCGTGATCATGATCGATTCACAGCCATGTGCTACATGCCTGAAATTTATCAATAGAATTTTCCAGTATACGGGTATACACTTTTCCGTTAGAGGCGCGATTGGTATTGGCCCGACTCTTGCAACGAAGGATAAGAGAAGCGGCGCAAGATATGATACCTTCGGCGACACATTTCCGGAATCTGATGACGAAGAGTCTGCTGTCGTGGAGGACGTGGTTCAGGGTTTAGGTGGCGTTACCACAGATGCGGCGTGCCAACCATTCATAGGGATGTCAATGGAGGGACAACAATTGTCTCCCATCCTTCACAACGATGCTGATATTGTTATTCCTGCTACGAACCCCGCCATCGCCATGGAGCGAACTATGCCTATCACACCCGCCCGACCGAGGATGCAATGGCCTATACCTGAACACAGGTCACGCTTTTTCGAAGATCCATTCTCTGATATACCATCTCGCCGACCACCGAATCATTTCGAAATCTTAGCTGAATATAAGAAGAAGACGCCGGTATACGAGTTCCCGGGGTATGAGGCCATTATGGCAGACCGTCATCCGCGCCAGCAGCAACCGCTTGCAAAGCCTTTCATTCTCCCATCAGGAAATCGAAGGCCACCTTCTGCGGCAGAGGAAGATGTCGTACTTGTTGATGTGGCAGATGATGGCGACACTGTTATGTGTTCATCCACAAGCAGCGACAACGAGTCGACTCTTCGACGTTCTGTGACCAATGTTCACACTGGAAAAAAGGATAGCGATAGCAGCACGCCTCGACCTAATGAAGCGAGCTTTTCGTACCATAGCTTTGAGCCGATTACCGCCTGCGAGAATGGTGGTATTTCTAAAGGACAGAATCAAAATGATCTGGGACGCTATGCCAATGTCCACTCGGAAAGCGACGACGAAGATGATTACTACTACGTGCCAAGACAATTGTCTCAACGATCTCGTCCTAGCGACGAGGATAGTCTCGTTAAGGAGCAGCAAAAAGAGAAGGAGACAACCCCGTGTCCAGTCTCTGGACTAGCCAAACTTCAACAGTGGCGTTATCAGCCGCAACCACGAGTCCGCCCCCAACTATTGCAACCATGGCGTCGCGAGGGGCAGACGATCCAGCCCTATATGTACCTTAACAACCCTGTCCCAGAACCGGTTTACTTCGACTCTGATCTTACCGAGGGATTTTCTAGAGAGAAGCGTGAACAGACACATGGGAGTAAGGGTTAGGACACCGCTCTATCGCTTCTGTGAGCACTTGATAGAATCTGAGAAAAACTTGGAGATACTTCAACTAGCTTGCTTGTAGCTTATGAAATAATAATCACGAGCAAACGAATGGTCTACGAAATAAAGGTTCTAGGTTTTGAAAGTAAGGTAATTCGATGTGTTATAAGGAAAAGGGACGAAGAATGACCGAAAGGAAGCAGTTTATGATGATATGGGATAGGAGGATACGTTGTGCTGATCTCACACTTGCTAGACATGTTGGAATTTCGCAGTCAGAATCTGGCTATTGCAACCATTCAGTCATTTCTGTACTCCTTAGCATACCTAACTCTATTGCTCTTAAATAACTCAAAACATAATAAAAAAACATGGCAGTCACACGTATTAGAGACGAATAATGTGCCATGGGGAAGTGCGAAAGCGAAGTTCGCCAAATCAATTCATTCAGCCATTTTCAGACGCCGTGCCCCCATAGACCTTTGCTACCTAGACCGTAGTAGTAGAATCATTCCCGCATGGTATCAACATTTACTCTTCCTCCTCTTCCTCCTCGGCCTCAGCAGTAGTCTGGGCAATTCCTATAGGCAGTCAGTCAGCAACTTGTTATCCCTAGCAAGAACGTAGCGGCGGATAACTTACGGTCCAGATCTCGCTGGCCGGACTGGGTGATACGTCGGCCACCCTGTTCCTCATCCTGCTCGAGGACACCGATCTTCTCGAGGGCCTGGAGGATCTTGCGGTCGACGGAGCCGGAGCCGTCGACGTGCTTGGAGGGGCGGGTACCGCGGTTCTTGGCGGTGCCGTGGACCTTGCGGAGACGGCCGACACCGACGGTCTTGCGTAGGTAGACGTGGCGGGCGACGCTGGCGGCGCGCACGTAGAACCAGTCGATGTTCTGGGGGGGAAGCTCGCGCGAGGGACCGGTCTTGACGGTGTCGACCCAACCTGGGGGGAGGGGGGGGTCGTGTTAGCTCCAGAAGGCAGAGATTAGTTCAGGAAAGGGGGACGGGGTAGACATACCGGGAATGGGCAGCTTGCCCTGCCGCTTCAAGAAGCTAGCGTACGCGTCGATGAACTTCTGCGCCTGTAGTGTGGGGGACCCAAAAACCCATCAGCAAATATTCCGTCATCAGAAGTCTTGCGACCCCCTCGCGCCTGCTCCCGACGGCAATGGAACGAGATTTTGTGGTGGTGGTGTTCTCATGTCCTGCTGCGTCTGGCAATTGTTCACATTGTAATTTTGTATTTCTTTTTTTGGGTCTCATGCTAATGTATGCATGTATGTATGTAGCATTTGCCGTGGCATTTTTGATTTGCAGCGCCTGTTGGAGAGGCGCGAGGAGAAGAAGAAGGAGGAGGAGGAGGAATTGCGATCTGCTTTCCGCTCACGGCGGGCAGAGTGGTTTGTAAAAGGTGGAGGAACCTACATCGACATCGCGAACGGAGACTCCGCCGGTCATTTTTGCGGTATTGAAATTGGGAAGGGGAGGAATTTGTCGGAGATATTGGTTTGGTCGACTGGATGTCGTGAGGGTTTTGGCGTTTCGCGCGCAAGAAGTTGGCTGTGTGCGGAGGAGAGGTGTGGTTTGGAAACTTTTTTTTTTGGTGAAATTGACGAGTAGGTGGTTGTTGGAGAGCGTAGTGGGTGGATGTGGGGCGGTTGAGAAGGTCTTGGCGGAGATTAGGGCTTGCCCTCTTGTAAAGGCGAGTGTCGGGATTACCTAAGTGAGCTGTAAAAGTTGTGGGGCTTTGTCGTACCTTAACATAGGGGGGCTTTGCTGACGTAAATTCAATATTCAATATACCTAAGTCATATATTGTGATGTACTATTGTGATGCACTTCACTTATAACACGGGCTTGTTATCTAGATCAAATAATCATTCATCTCCAAAATAAAAGCATACATGAAAGAGTACTAAAGAATCATAGTAAGGAAATTTATCATTCTTAGGCGATTAGCCCCTTTTGACTATGCACCTTGGGAGCCCCCCTTTCAGCCCCTATCAACGAGAGAGCTACATACTTGTTTCGGGCTCTAAGATCCCTTTGGATATACATATATCTAGCCGTAAAGGTCTGTGGCATCGACGAATACTTCTAAAGTATCTATCAGGTCGCCAACACCTAACTCGCTCTCGACTGCATTCATTACTCTGAAGCCCTTCCCTTTCGTACTCAGCTATCCCCGTCCAGGACTAAGATATTCACAAGCGTGGGAGGGGACGTCACATTAATTTCTTGTTGAAGGGCAAGCTGCTGATTATCCATCACCTGATCAACATGAGCAACAAGGAATATCACCAGCCCATAACTTATAAGCAAGTCTTTGCTGTACACTCAAGTATCGTGGTGACCTTGTTTCATACATATTAGCATGATTCAGAAATCTATATATTTACCTATTTGAACAAGCATACCCAAGATACTTTAAACACTGTTGTTGGCTAAGCAGAAGCTATAGCCGGGTCGGATAGGGGTTATGGTCTCATACATCATAAGGAGAGAAGACACCCAAATTGATTTCCTTAGCATCCACCCACATTGTTGGCCCTCCAAACATCATCATTACCAATTGCGATGGCGGTTCTGAGGAAGGATCCGCCACCACCGATTATTGTGCTAATGCCCATTCCTGCCAGTATGACAACGTGCTGTTCGGATATTTTGCCTACACTCGATACCAACCCACCACTGTTGGAGGCAATGTCAGTAAGCCAAGTGCTCCAGTGAGCCTGCTCGCCGGCGTCGGTGACTATGGATAGAATCAGGCAGACGCAGTTCACAACAAACCCAAGAAGATCGTTCGCCTTCTTCGGCAACGTGTCGAGAACTAGATTGTAGATGCCCGGCACAATCCAAGCGACCCAGCGACAACAGTATGCCCACCATTCTTGCTCGTCCTTGGGAACGGGCATGGAGAAGAGGATTTTCATGTTGGCAAGTCTTTTACACAGCGTCGAGAGCGAAAGACTGGTCACTAAGAGGAAGAATGACGGGCAAGGTTAGCATTGGTTCTTTCGTATCGGCTGATATATGTATGGACCAACTAGTCCGAGCTGAAACTTACTTTTTACAGGCCTCACGCCGCTTGGGGCCACGGAAAACAGCCATGATAGATTGGCGCCAACTGCACATATAGGAGAGACCGTGCCCTGGAGATAGGAGATGACCCGTAATGCTTTCGGGCACCTGAAGCTTTGCTGGTTCAGTGGTGTGCCATCCGTACCCCCTGAGACGAATGCTTTATCAGAGAAGGCGTTTTCTTTTGTACTCGCTGTTGCTAGGGCTGGATTGAGGCTCTTGAAAACATCTGCTAAGGCTTCCGGGGCGTTGTTGAGTTTAATGCCTTCGCACCACTGGTCCGGCGTGCTTCCAGTTGCGATATTGGCTACTGTTGTAGCTGGGATCGCAGCGATGAGAGAGGCGACGTTCAAAATCGTCATCGGCTCTTTCTCGCCCATTAATCCACAGATGAATTCGTAGAGCGCGCTGAAAATAGGCGCGTTGATCGTCTTTTCCATCTCCGATTGTAGGTCCACGATCATGTCCTCGACCAATTTGAGCACGCCGTCGATGAACGCAGCAAGCCCCGAGATGATGATATCGGCGAAGTCTACGCAAACTCGCTGCAGATCCGCGATCGTTCCATTCGTGAGAAGAGCCACGAGGTCCGTCCCAGTTTGCTTGAGCTTCCCTTCAATGGTTTCCCAGACTGGCTTGAGGACATCTTCGAAAAGCTGGGCAATAGGATTATCGGAGTCGAAATCTTGCGGTTCATCAGTCATCTCATCTTCCTTGTTCAACGGTGCGGCGTGGCGCAAATGATAAGTTGCCATGTTGACGGCCGGTGTCATCTCCGAAATGTCATGCTTTCCACCGTCTTTTTCCGTAGCTGTTTGCTTCATCGAAGAGATCGTCTGGCTACTGAACTCAGGAGGAAGTGATAAATTCTTTATATCCTTTCCGATGGTTGCGAAGATCGACTTGACCTCGGCTCTGGTGCTCTCGATGAGAGTTGTGGCTTCGGCTACGCCGTAGTCCAGGAAGCCTGTTTCCAATGACTGAGTTAGTGACAAACAGAAGACAGAACGACGAACCCAGAATCCAGAACTGTTCATATACAATGAAACTTACTTTTGCTGGTCTCGGCAATGACTTTATGTGTAGCCCATATGTGATCCCATCCCAGCAAGTGTCCGAACCAGGCGAGAATCTGAAAAGTCAGTCAGCATGATTTGTTTGGTTTTGAGCACAATAAAATGAAAGCGTCGTACCTTATCTAGATCAATTCCGACGAGCTTTAGAAGGAAGTTCAACCCTTTGTAAATAGCGACCAAGGTATCCAAGACGAGTCGGAGGATTTTATCTCCTATATGGAGCACAAACTCGAATGCGTCCCCAACCTTGGAGATGATGAATTTCACCCCGTCTGCGAGCTTCACGACGCCGTCTTCGATGAACTTGACGACATCGTGAAAGGCATTCTCTATCCAGTGCCAGATGTCGCCAATCACATCACCCCACGATTCGATCCGGAACGGCGTGTCTCGCTTCACTTCCTCGATCTCCTCGTCGCTGAATGCCGCCCAAGATCCATCCTTCGTGCCGAATCCCAGAGAAAACTCATCGGGGATCGCGGAAAGCGAGATGTTTGCGCGCAGGTCATGTTTTATTGCCGCTCCCGTCACATCGTCGGGCGTCTCCACGGCCGTGAAGATGTTTCCGCTTTTGTGCGGAGGGAAGTTGTCGCCGACAGATCCGCGGATCATCGAGAGCGACCGCGCAATCCCATCGGATACGTCTTCAGATATTTCACTCGGGAGTACCGACTTGCCATCCTGAGTCCGTGCTGCTCTCAGTGATGCCCCGTCAGTTATGCCAAGAAGATGGTGGTGTATTTTGCCGTTAGGGAAAATGCTCAGGGTTTCGTTGAAGGCGTCGCCTGGTAATAAAACGAGTTAGCATCGGAATGAAACACATCAAGTGAGAACCGTGAATGTGGAATATGGTTGGTCTTACTAGAAATATGAATCACGGCTGGAGCGACGTCGGAGGCAGTGCTTATGATGGTGATATCACCAAACTCGTCGGTCTCAACCTCCGCGGGCACATGGTTGTCTAGAGAATAAACAAGGCCGTTTACCGTGGCATACTGCCATTCGCTTGACGTGATCTTGACCTTGGCGCGTACAGGAGCTCCGGACGGGTCTCCGAGGTGAAACTGGGTCGTGAACGAATTAAAATTGACAACGTAGTCGCTCTGGCCGACTCTGGCAGTCTTGTGATTCCAGAGAGTCGAGGACGGATCTTGCCAGTAATGCGTGACAGTAAGCTCCGTGTCCAAGGTAAAGATCTCGTTACTGCTCGGGCCGTTGTTTGACTTGACGACGCGAAGAGGCGCCACGTGAAGTACGTTTTTGGCAAAAAGGATAGGCTCGCTCCATTTTACGACATGTCCTTCCTGACGCTCTCCGCGGACCAGGTACAGAGAACTTGGCGAGGCCTCTACCCAAAGAGACATCTCACTTGAGTCTTCCTTGGCTATCTTGACCTGGCGTACGTCCTTGATGGAGCCTGTAACTTGTTCCATGCGGTCGGCTCTTCCGTTTGGAATGCGGTAAAGCCCGGTAGCTGCCCCAACGTATATATCGGAACTTGGATTTCTCGCCTCGGCCCGTGAGGTTGATACGACAATGCTGCTATATGCCAAGTGGCGGTACGCCTCAGGCAAGTGTGAATTCCCTGGGCTGTAGTCGTAGGATAAGGAGCCCTGTTTCTTGTCACCAATTGTCTTGGCGATTAAAGACACCGACTCTCCCAGCTTGTAGAGGAAATAATTCGCTCGCTGGCTGAAGTTGAATCCCATCTGAAGCCCAAACAGACCATTGTCATCCACATCTAACCCTTCGGGAAATTCGACCCTGAACGCAACGTTGGTATCACTGTTCACCTGATAGTAATATCGTGAACCATTCGCATCTCCGACAACAACAATCTGAGGGTTAGAATCATCGTCAGACGATCCCACCAGTATGTGGCGTCCTACAAAGTTCTTATCGAGGCCGTCAACTTTCGTTACCAAGGACGACAACTTGGACAAATCCAACCCCGCCGCGTTGTTGGGCATCATGCTGGCAAAGAACACATCGGTCCCCGTCGCATCCTCTCTCTGGAGTATGAAGGCAAGCGAAATACGACCCTTCGTGTCCTGAGTCACGTCGAATTGAACGGCGCGAGAGTAGTTACGGAAGGAATCCAGCAAATTCGTCGAGGACCAGCCGTCCGGATTTTCTCCCGACGTGCTTCGGAGCATCTGGAAGCTTCCCTCGGAGCCAATGGTGAATATCAAAGGGTTTCCGACGCTATCTTTAACGACATCGAATGTCGAGGAGGGAGCGACTACATAGTCATAATTAATAAGACCATTTTCATCTGGGAGACCTGGGGGGGGAGGGTTGGAGGGGGGGCATACCTGGCATAGCTTGTTGTATATTGGACATTAGTTCCGATGACACGGTTGCTTTTAAACCATTGCTATGTTGTGCCGTCGCAGCATTGAGCGTTATTATGTCAACCATGGGGGCTGCTAACGGTGACGGGTTCATCTTAATATCCTGGGGCTCGTTTCCAGTCATATTAAACAGCGTAGTCTTTTTTACTGTCGCCGCGGTCTCGCAGATATGTTCAATATTAGGGATCGAGATGATGCGTGAATGCGGCGTATGTTCGTGTTGGTATTTGACCTCCGTGATGGCTGAATATAAGGAAGGCTCGCTAGTAAGATGATAAGTCTCGGTCTTGTAGGTCAGCTGTACACTGAAGTCTCCGTCGCTGTCGATCGTAGGTTTCTGTCTCAGGGGGTGGGTGTTAGCACTACATGAAGATAAACAATTGTCGCTCATGGGAATCAAACAACTTTGCAATCCTACCTTGGAGAAAAAAACCTGGCCAGCAGGCAGCATAAAAGTACTGTTGATATTGGAATCCAGACCACCAACAAATGCCGAAGGACCTGGTAAGCTACCCATCTCAGGGGATAAGAGCTCCAAGAAAAGCTTCGTAAAGAAATTATCGACGCTCGTCCCGAAAGAGAAGATGGCCTTGAAGATATCTAGGATCGTTCCAATAACTTTCGCGACTCCTTCCCAGAAATCAGCGCACCCGTTCTTCCCGGATGATGGGTTATATTGTGAGAACACCGGGTCCGACGCCTTTACTTCGATGGTTACCTTTCCATCCTTATCCTTCGTCTGAGTGAGTGTTATTTCGGCGGACCACTCCATTCTAGTGCTTGCCCACGCCACCGCCTCGCACACAATGCTCTTTCTAGCGGTTTTTGTGAATGAGATTTCCCCGGAGAATCGGATAGTTATACAAGAGTCTGAGGCGTTAAATGCGCTGACGGAGTATTTGTTGGTGTATTGATCATCCCCCGCCTCGACCTTGGCGATCTGGAAGGATACATTCCCACCAGTGCCGGACTTTGCGTCTTCGTATTTTGGGGTGGGGGGGATTTTGAGGCTAGTTGTCTTGAATCTCTCTGCAAACTTGGTGCTAAAGGACTCATAGAATGGATAGAGTATCAACGATTCATAGAAGGAAAACGAAGAATAAATCATTTTCCCGTCACACTGCTCCTGGGGTTGGATCCAGTTGGAATCGAAATTCCCCGGTGTAGGGTGAGTGCCAGTACCCAGGAATTTCTTCTTAGACCCCTCGGTATTCAAGACGAAGTTGATTGTACTTCGATCTTGATCTGTTGGATCGAAATACAAACTGAACGTTTGGCCGATGGGTTTGAGGCTGGGCGGGACATTTTCATCCGAATAGGATTGACTTCTCTGGTCTGAAATGGTGTATCCTAGAATAAACGGATTTGCCTTGGGATTATCTTTGAAGTACTCAAGATAGCTCGTCATAACGAACACAAAACCCTGCTTAGCTGCCTGAGTAGCTTTGTTGACATTGGTGTGAATGGGGTTAAAGTTGACCAGGTCGGTGGATTCAAAATTCACAAACATCTGAGCCACGGAGAATCCTTCCGATACAAACTTGGTGAGTTTATCAGCGACAATTTTTGGAACAGCCTTGCCAGATTGGAGATCAGAGCGTCCGATACCAGCAAAATCAAGCGAGATGCTGATACCATACTGCCAACCGGCCATGTCCCACTCCTTAAGCCTACCACTGTTCATGTCTCGAAGCCAGGCAGAGCCTTGGTCGAAATGAAGGACCAGCACAATATCCGTACCACTATGATCAATAAGAACGCTAGGCATGTAGTTTCCATTGATGAGAGGATCAAGGGGTTTCCCGGAAGAATCCTTAGGAACGTCTTTGTAGTTGTCATAAAACTTAGGAATTGACGAGTCCGAAGACTCATTATATTCCATGCTCAGAATAAAGCTTGAGAAATCGTATGGTTAGCACAACTTCGTATATATGCCTGTAAAACTCGTGGCTTATACCTCGTCTTGATGGTAGCAATGTCCGGATCTGCCAGGTGAATAAGTTGATCATTCACCGACTTCTGAGTGACAGAAACGACCATGTCGTATCCGGAACTGGTGAAAACATCGGAGTTCTTCATCTTTAAAAAGTGGTGAAGTTCCAAATAGAAAACTATACTTGGGATCAAAAGAGAGCTAACCAGTAGCTAAATTGCAAATCTGTTTGACTATACTCGAGAAACTGTTGCAGAAATAAGAGTGTCCAAGGAGAGGTCTGAACGAGACGTTCATCAGATTTATAAGGACGCCGAGCTGCCTTCTGGGCCATATTCAAACTGCCATATCTCCCTGCCGGACTCTGTATTGCTTGATAGCGAACCGTGGGAAAATCCAGATACTGCAGACGGGGTTGTCTCTTGGCTTCCTGCTAGGGTCATCGTGAATCGAAAGGAAGACGTGATTTTACCTTGTCAAAGACGAGGCCGGCGACCTCGGCCATGGCGGCGGTGATCTGATCAGCCATAATGAGAAATGACAGGTAGCGAAAGCCGTAGCTGAGCGGCTGGAAAATTAATAAACCATGCACGCACGCACGATGCTAGAGCTGGGGTGCGTCGAACCAAATCCGGAAAGACGGTGGAGAGCTTTCAGCTGGTCCAGTTTTCATAATGTAGATGGCTTGCATTCCAGTCAGTAACTCTGGTTAGCAACCACTTATAATCAAGATCACCTGCATAGAAGGATCGATAGATGTTAGGCACTTGGAATAGTCAAAGAACTAACCTAGTTGACTACTGTATCAAGGCGTCTCTTCAACTTCCCTATGCGAAGATTGTCTCAATTTCTCAGCACCGATTTGATAGGTATTGGAAAGGTGAAGACGTGTCGCAAGATATGACTCCAAAAGCAAGCTCTTCAGCTCACCCAAATTGAGAATCTTGCAGGCTATCTAGCTATGTGATTGTATTCTGAATGGCTACGCGTGCACTGATCATCCTGGCTAAGAGCAAGAGGATGGGCGGCTTGCAGAATGCGGGTGGAGTCTATGTAATAGACTATGATCACAGGAGACTTGCCACAACCATGAAGCCGTGGATGGCGCCTACTGGTAGTTATTGCACAAGTCGAATGGGCCGGACTAGCACGCGCCGTGTTGTCAGGGGCTACTGAATAAGTTAGAAGAAATGGATATAAAACATGGTCTCCGAGCTCTCCATACCTGGCAGGTAGTACATTTATTATGAAATTCGTGTAGACTGTATGAGGTATTAGCTAGCCATGGCTTACAAGTCTTCTAACACTGGAACGAGTCCTTCGTTCCTGGAGAGGGAAATCTATTCGGAGAGGACCTTGCCCCTTTTGACTTACTTCATTGCCCGTGCTCTTGCTGCCGCCCCTAACCATAAGGGCTCCTCGGCTGTTGATGACTTTAGCGGCGTGAAATCCGGGATCGGAAAAGCGGAACGGCCCATACCGGACGAAAGCCAACAGCTTAGAGAGACTTTGCTGAATCTCATAAACAAAGGCCCAGGTAGAGATCCAGGCCAGAAAATCCCAGGAAGCCCAACAGTATGTACATATCCGCCCGCCCGTGTTTATTCCGTTTATCTCATGGTTGTTTTTCTAGGTCACGATTGTTGGCGCGGGTGTTTCTGGCCTTTGCGCTGGCTACGAGCTGAAGAAAGCTGGCTTCAATGTAACTATCTTGGAAGCTTCTTCTAGAGTAGGAGGCCGAGTCACAACATTCAGGGAGCCGACCTTTGCCCCTGGTCTCCACGGCGAAGGGGGGGCAATGAGGATTCCTGCCAGTCATTTCTTACTTCACGAGTACATCAAAAGGTTTGGGCTTTCTAGCCAACTATTCGATTTCGAGATGGAGAACAAGTTCATCTACATCTCAGGCTATGGAAAGACAATGATGTATAAGGGCGATTTCGACCAACGCCTGAAGAACTCGGATCCCAAGCTTCTGGGGCTGTTCCCCGGGCTTAAAGACTCCGAGAAAGGCAAGACATGTGATGAGCTGTTCACATCAGCCGTTGAGCCGGTTGTTCGTGCGTTCTGGACTGCATATGGTGGGCTTCCTTCTCCCGAGAAGCTCGACCAGGAGCACATCGATGTGAATGCAATCAAACGAGCCTTCAATAAGATCACAGCCGACTACGATAGGTACACACTGCGATCTTATCTTACCGACGTGGCAGGCTGGAGTGAGGATGCTCTCAACCTTTACAACTTAGGAAACGCACATGTGGTATTTGACAACGGATTTATTGAGTCTTTCAAGGACGCATTCTTGTCCAGCAACAAGGAGGGTGCTCAGGCTGGTATGAAGCAGCTCCAAAGTGGAATGGATGCTGTGCCCAACGCTTTTATCTCTTCTGAGAGGGGCCCAGGTATGTCTTCTTCATCCCACAAGCAGCCGCCATACTAACAGCCGTCAAGACTCACTAATAGACAACATAATTTTCGGCGCGCGGGTGACTGCGATCAGTACTGAAAACCCCGGTCCGCCGGGTATTCCGAGACAGAGCCGCGTAAAGCTCACATACGAAGTATCGGCCACCGGCCGCAAAAAGGAAATCCTCTCCGACTATCTGATTCTTGCTATTCCCTACACGTCTCAGCGCATAATTTCCAAGTCTAAACCCTTCGCGCCGAAACAGGAGATGGCAATCCGAGAAGTGCGCTACGTCGAGGTGACCAAGGTTCTTCTCCAGTACAAGCGTCGCTGGTGGGAGGAGGTCTTCCAGAAGCGTGGACAGGGCTTCGACGGTGGTGTCGTAAGCGACCTACCAATCCGCTACACCATGTTCCCGAAAAAGGACGGAAACCAGCAATTTGCTCGTTCGGAGCGCGGCGTCGTCATGGCTGCTTACACCTTTGAGCAAGATGCAACCATACTCGGGGCGTTATCGCCTGAGCGCCGAATTCAGATTGCCGCCGAGAATCTCGACACCATCTTCCCCGAGGCGGGATCCCTAGACTTTCTCGAGGTGGGCGCATCACAGGTATTCCCCGCCGATGAGCTCGCGGGTGGCAGTGCCTTTTGTTACTTCGGCCCCACGCAAAAGACCAATTTCCTCGATACCATGATGGATTCGGATTGGGACGACAAGGTCTTCTTTGCTGGCGAGCAAGCCAGCTTTACTCACGGCTGGATCCAAGGCGCTCTCGAAGCCGGGTTAAGATGCGTACAGCAAGTCTGGGATGCCGCCGCGGGTCAGGCGGCACAGTGATGGATTTGATCGAGTTGTGTGCGCTATACCTGATTAAGAGGGAAGCCAAACTCGAAAGGCAAAAGAGGAGGCGTGATGAGTAGAGTGAAATGCAAATATAAGAACCCGGGATTTGCTGAGGTAGGCTCTGAAGCTTCTAACCTAGGTACCTTAGGTGTGCAAGAAATAATAACTCAAGTCTTCGTAAGATGCAATGGTATTGGTATACCAACAAAAGCTTGACTGGGCTGATAATAGTATGGACTAGTATATCCCTACCAGATCACCTATTCAATCATATTAGTTTCCATGATAGTACCTATTTGCAAATCGATAATATAAAGGCGCCGTGCGAGGAGCCCCTATTAGGCCAACTACTTGGCAAATATAATAGGAGTAATAAGCTACTTAGTCTAATCACTTAGACTATTTAAAAATTATACCATACGTCTATTATTAAGTATCAACTCAGGTTATTATTAGAAGGCAGATAATCTAAGCGTCGAAGCTCGTCGTGGCCGAAGGGCATCAATAATTTCCAGGAGTATGAGGCTAAAATCAAGGCGGGCGATTACAACCAAACCCGGACCAGTTGAGGGCAGCAATAATTCATCTGAATAGGGGTATATATTTAGTAAGACAAGTTTTGAGGATGCAGAATCCAATTCATCCAGACACTGTGGTATATGACTGTCGAGTTTCCTTCATTTCGCTCGTATTGAATTTATATCCAAACTTTGTCGTCGGCTCGATTCTTCTCGAGATAATCATATACCTCGCCATAATTCTTACACACGTGCTTTGCATCCCATCCGTCGCTGCCGTCGAAGCCCTCAGGAAAAGTGGTTTGCTCGCCTTCCAACGCGACGTCTCCGCAGCACATGATGCTCTGCCGCAGGTAGTCAAAGCAATGAGTTAAGTGCCACGGCGTCTCCTGAGGCACTCGGCTCGTGTCGGACGTAAGTGCTGAATAGGCCTCAGCAATAGCATACTATTAGTCAATGTTAGTGACCCTCGGACGTATCACACGGATATGAGAGGAGGTGGGGTAGAAATATTTACCAGACAGTGAAGTTGGTGCGTCATGGATGATGTGACGACGAACTGATCCGGGTACGAGTTTAACTGCGCCGGTAAATTGTCAAATTCTTGCGGGTTCTTGATTTCAAGGTATCCGAGGCCCTCTGTTAATACGCACTCCGTGTTAGCTTGCCGCTCCAATAGCCGGTCATTTAGGGACGGGGCGGGAGATGTGCATCTACGTACTCGGTACTAGACTTAACCACTTCTTCCGAGTCTCTTCCGAGAAGAATTCGGAGGTATTTTCCGGCACGAAGGACGGGTCCGGAGAGAACTTTGTGATCTTCTGCCCAAACTCCGGCGCGAATCCCGTTAAGTCGCCACCTCCTTCGAAGAAATGTTCTCTCCCGTGCCGTCGAAAGTCACCTCCTAGAAGCAACAGCACAATGACTACTAATAGGAATGTGTCGATTAACCATCTGTGCTCCTTAAGGATAGCGAGAAACGTGCTCTTCTCGCTCGATCCTGTCCATGATGTTGCTGATTCGTGCATGTAGTCTTTCTCGTTCAAGTCAAGCGCCTCCAGATCAACGTCGGTGCTACTGGAGTCGTCGCGATCCTCATCGCGAGTCCTGCTAATCTTGCGATACAAGTCCTTGGGTTTCCGATGGTCCTTCATCTTCGTTGAATCCTGGCCCTTTTTTTTCTTTTTAATGAAATATCGTATACAGTCCTGCTGCCCGACTAGCAAGCGAAACGTATATTAAAACTGAATAAAAATACGGGATCCCGGCCCGGTAAGAAGAGAATGAGACAACGAAAAGCCCGATAGGCCACGAGATGAATGAATAGAAAACCGAATAAACAAGTAAAAAAAATAAGCTGAATTAGAAGAGATTATTAAAAACAAATTCTAAATGTCAGAGATCAGATGGTTAGATTCTGCGACCCCAAGCGTCTCCGCGACGTTTCATGTCTCAGCATTGCGCGGTCCGCCTCCTATCGTAATCCACAACGACGTATCATGTCGCTAGCGCGCTCGCCAATCGTGAGTTTATCGTAAGGTCAGATTGTTTTAGGTTAGGACGTGGAGTTGACAGCGCCTAGTGTAGAACGTCTCAGCTTGACGTCGTAGCTTAAGGCTTATGACCTCGATTCTCCGTAGCAAGGAGCACACGACTTTATAATACATATAGTCCTCTAAAATATCTTACTGATATGTTTAACAGTTAGTCGATATTATCTTAACCAGAAGCTGAATAGAGGATTGTTTCATTAGGCGCCATGATCAACATCTGTAATACCCATAGTACTATAGAAGCGTACCAACAACTCTTCAGCCACGCCATCTATTTTCCGAAAAATAAAAGAAAGAAAAAAGGAAAGTAAATAAAACAGCTTCATCAACGCTAGCAAGAGGTAGCTAAATGGTACTTTTACCCGTGCCGCAGAGCGGTTGGTTTGTATATTGCACCAGTCCAGCGCTTTGCCCATACTACGCGCCAATACTACCCATCAAATTCTCTAGGTTAAGTCATAAAAGTTCCAAGCCTTTATTTACGCATATTGTAATAGCAGTATGATAGCCGGTGAACTAGAGTAGAAATTAATCAGATCCGAAGAAAAAATATATCTATAGGAACACGTGGTCATGAGCTTCATTCACCGTTAGTATAGAATCCGACCGAGAAGACCGAGATGAACGCAAGCAATATAAAGAAATATCCCAATTCTTGTTTAACCCGGATTCACCCCTGTAATAAGATAGATCAGACTCTCCAATGCACCTACTAAGCCTCGAGCTTAGTTGCGGTAATACAAAGTCATAAACAACGAGGGGTCCCAATTGAATAACGGAGATATAGGGGGTTCTACCCCTTTCTTGAACCGACATACCCCTTATGGAAAGCTATTGTATTGTATCGTATGCGTCAGTTCTACCTAGCATAAAGGAACACAACTTGGGACTGGGAAAAGAAAATATTGCCTAGCACGGACTCACCACCAGGTATTAGCGCAGCAGCATACATGACCAAATTAATCGGCCGCAAGTCTTCATCCGCCGCATTCAGGACCTTGCCTTCCCAGGCATCTAGCACCGCTTCAGCAGCCGTATGTAACGGTTGGGCCGGGTCGTCCACGTAGCATTTAATCCCAAGGCAGCCGCCAAATTCGCGAAACGCAAGCCGATACGAGTGCTTCTTGTCGGCGCTGACGGGGCTCTGGGCCGCGGGCAGGAAGCGGTTACGCGCGATGGTGAGGCCCTGCTTGGCTAGCTCGCGCGACCACGTTGCTTCTTTGTCGAAGTGGCTGATCCATAAGCTCATCCCTAGATCAAGCGGGTCTCCTGATAGAGATTTGGGATGGTTGGCCATGATACGACGGTAGTGTTTGATTTCTGTATCTAGCGTCGATGAGCCTGGGCTTGGGCTATCGGTAGCGTTCATTTTATCAAAGTGCTCAGCCGTCTCTTGTAGTAACCGGTACACTACAAGTCCGTCTACATCGTCGAGGTTCCCCTTGCTGCTGACTAGCACGCGGCGCATATCTATTGATATCTTCCACACCATGCTCTCCTGGTCACCTCTCTCAGTCATAAAATGCGGATGGATGGCCCTAGCTAGTTGCACCGCGAGATCATTCCATTGTGGCTCTTCTGTCGCCAGAGCTAATCGGTTCAGTGCGAACATCCAGAGAATTAGATAGTGATGATATTGGCCGTCACCATCGGGTCCCCCAGCATCAAGCTTCCCGATCCGTAAACCGCCCTTCAAAGGTTCCTCATCAGTCGCGCCGTGGAGGTGCGAAGTCCCATCCCGTGTGCGACCGAGAACAGAGTGGACTTTATCTGCCAGCCGTCTAGCTAGTTCTAAGTAAAGTTTCTTTGAGTGGATGCCTTCTTTCTCATGAGATAGAGTGATAAAGTTAATAACTCCGAAGGCGTCGGTCCAGAGGTATCGCCCGCGATGTCCCCCGGCTCCGGGTTTTGCAGGAGGCTGCCATGATATAGGGTCAGACGTATCTGTAGGATAAGGCCCGTAGACCTTGTGCATAGAACCTTCGAAGAGGGTTAATTTCTTAGCATTGGAGCCAGTTCCGTCAGACACATTATGTAGAGCCATTGAGGATGTTCCACGAAATTCCAAGGAGAAGAATGAATGTAGTCTGAGTCGATTCAGGAGACACCATACACGACTGTGACTAACTCCGTGAGGGGGAAACATAAATGTTGGAGGTTAAAACATAGAAGTAATGCTATTATCTGCAGTAAAATCAAATTCCTGACCCCCAAGATCCTTAAGTTGCCCTTTGTTTGGTTACTTGAGTAAAAGGGGTGGAGAAAAAGCTTGTTGCCGCAAGTGACGCAACGATTACGATCTGGTCTGGTAGGCAATAGCCGTATAATCCTACCTTACACCCTTAATTTCATATAATGATGCTACTTACAGATTGCGATAGCAGCCCTACCAAGCTTACGAGTGTTTTTAATACTAATATAACAGTGCCGCTCTATGCTCGACTGTATTAGCAGGAGTCTTGCCATTTCCACGACCATAACAACAAATTATAGCTAAGGAAGCATGGATACATTCAGGTTCCCAAGAGTTTCTTTTGAATCTATGATAAGATATTTTATTCCATCGTTAGAGAGCAATGCTAAGAGATACGTGTCGTACCTTCATAGATTACATTCTGTTAGCAGTTCAACTTTTTTTGTTTGTCACAATTAGTGACAAGACTGAAGAATTACAAGAAGAGGATTATAACAATTTGTTGTCTGTCATTATTGCCAGGAAACTGCGTCGTTATTGGTAGTAGGCGTTAGGTATACACAGCATTTATTCAGGCTTTTGTTTATAACAGCAGCTTTGTTCGATGGGTAATATCTTTGTCACTTGTCGTCTAAGTGAACCATTATAAGATACTGATAACTAGTATACCTAATACGATGATATTTAAACCGAGCAAATTTCCTAGTGCTTCTAATAAGTAATCTAGAAGAAACATAATCTAACCTACTCATTTATCACGACCAATCCTAATTTCGCCTACCATGCCTTTTTCTAATACACCTAATTGCGGCTTCCCCAGCTGGTCAACTGAGATTATCCAAAAGGTAGCAAGCGATTTCACTACGCCGTCTCAATTGCTTAACTATTCCTGTATATGCAAGCACGTGAACTCCGCGATCGGCCTCAGGGAATATATAATTAATGATATTCAGTACCGTCAGACCAACAGGAGTCAGGAAGTTTTCTTTACTTGGGCTTACGAAACTGAGGAATCTTATGAGTTTCAAGCTCCATATCCCCATAGGGTGGGTAATCCAGACGCATTCAAACGTCCGTATCTTCAAATGAAGCCCCTAGGTACGGTGGCACATTAGTGCACAACCGACAAAACAAAAAAACGGATGAAAATTCGTCCGATTGGCTGGCGTAAGCGCTATAATTATAGCGCACGTACCCACTAGAGGCCCTACAACTACAGGGGATTACAGTGAACAATACGCTATAATTACAAGGCTTGTAAATACAAGGTTTTAATTGGCTAACACCTTGCCAGCTGTAGACAGCTGCCATGAGAACCTTAATTTAACTTCTGAAAATATCACTAAGTCCACTGTAATTATAGTGGACTTAGCGCATGCAGCCACTATTATTATAGTGGACTTAATGGACTTAGTGGATTTAATATTACTTATTTAATACGCATTACCCTTACCTTATTAGGTAAATAGGTATTTAAATATTTTAAAAGAAAATTTTTATAGCGAAGTTAAGTCCACTGAGTTTACTGTAATTATAGTGGCTGCATGCGCTAAGTCCACTATAATTACAATGGACTTAATAGATTTAATAAATTTCATTTTAGCTTCGGAGACTTTTTTTTTAAAGCGCTATAACTTTAGCGCATGCATCACTGTAATGCCCTGTATTTATAGTGGGCTTTAGCGCATATAAGCGCTGTAAATATAGCACATATGCCAAGTCGGACGAATTTTCATCCGCTTTTTTTGTTTTGTCGGTTGTGTACTAATGGTGCACCGTACCTAGGGTCATATGTACCCCTTCTTAACTGGGCAATTGAGACAGGCGTGGATATTAATTTTATTGGAGAGATTATCAACGCTTACTTGAGGCTTTATCCTGGTGTGCTCAAAGGCCAGTGGTATCCCAAGCATTGGGAGAAGCATCACGCGGAAGGAATCCGTTACAGAAGACGGCCATCCAGAGAGTTCCCTTCGCCCATGCTTGTAGCCGCTAAATCGGGACGACTTGACGTAATAAAGATACTCATTGAATCCGGTGTTGAAATTAGACAAGAGAACATCGTCGAGTATATTTATCAAGAGGAAATGATGACAGAGGATCGGATTTACATGCACATAGAAGCAGAGGTTGATGCATTTTCCCTTGCTTGCGAAGCCGACGAGGAGGTGGCACAATTCATGATTCTAAATGGGCTAGATCTAAGATATAGAGATCTCTGGTGGCCTGTCGAATTTGGACGTATGCAGGTTCTCGAGATCCTTTTGCAATATCCGCTTTTCAAAACCAAGGAGGGCCAAGATATCATCGAGGTAGTGCTTGATTGTATTGTTTATAAACGCGATATCTATCCTATCAGGGATTTTAGCGTTTTAAAATCCCTTCTTGATGCTATGACCGATCCATCGTTCAATAAGATAGAGTGGCTTGAAAGAGCAACTGCTAAAGTCTTGGGAGGTAAAAGGAGTAGTTATAAAGATGCGCTGGGCATGTATCTATTTGACCTCTTTAAAAACTCGGGAACCAAGTCGATTTGTAACCCACAAATTGCTCGACAGGCTGCTGGCAGTGACAACTTCCTGGAAATCACAAAAACTATACTGTTGGAAGCCGAGCACTCTAAAAAGAGTAAAAACGGCAAGACATTACCCTGGATTCATGAGATGATGAAACAGGCCTCAAGGCGCATTTGTCCTCGTACCGTAATGTATCTCCTCAGCTCTGGGTATAAGTTTTCTAAAATCTGTCTCCATCAAGCTGTCATAGGTCCTTTATCAGATTCATATAAGGGCCTTTGCGAAAGCATGGTATACACCAATCAACTTGAGTTGATTGACATGCTTGTCAACTCTGGTATTTCGGTTAACTCGTTCTATCACTTCCCTCGGAGAGACGAGGAGACCCTGTTAGAGTATGCACTAAAGTATTCGCCGCTGGTAATGACTAGAGACGGCAGACAAGGGCTAGACTGTCGCGTGGCACTTAGACTAATGCACTACGGCGCCGACCCTACAAAAGTCGGAGAAGACACAATAGAAAATTGGCTTAATAGGGTTTATCAGGATAAATACCTAACGGATTATTTCCTCCACGAGATACCCCATAAAAATGATCTCGCGAGCCTGGGACGTGATATATTTTCTCACAAAGTCTCAAGCGTAGATTCTCCTCTATATATCGACCAGATCTATGCCATGGCGGTGATGATGAAAGGTAAGGACTTTCTCGAAAGTTGTTTAAAAGAGGTAGGAGTTGGCTGGGATCATCGATACCGTAATTCCGAGTGGCTGAAAAGACCCAATGGGTTCCGGGGTTCTCCCATGGATCGTAGACGGCTTTCACTTGACGCGCAGCTTGGGGAAGGGATATGGGTGCCAAGGAAAAACATTTGCATTTTGTAAAACACCTAGTGTAAGACAAGTAGATATAGAAGCATAAACGTGTATGAATATTTAGCTAAATCCACGATATAAACTCCGATATTGATTCCGTGACATTTATATAAGATACCTAGGTATTTTGTGCCAAGTATCAACACGTGCTCTTACACTTTGTATCCCATACTTATGCTCCATCCGGTTTCCAATCAGGTGGTGCAAGTTCTACGCCATCTGGGACGAAACCTGGGGCCACTATCATACCACAATTAGTTATGAAGTTTCTTAAGGTAGGTAGAAGGCATGAAGTTCTTACCGGTAGTGCCGACTAGGGTCCACTTCCCACTTGAAAGGGCACTTTGCCATGTCCCTTTCGGAATGACTACCTGCGGCTGCTCGTTGTTGAAGACGTCTGGTCCGAGCACCTTGTCCACCGGGGGCTTGCCATCGTTGTTTGATAGCGACAAAGTCAGCGGTGCGCCTGCATAGTAGTGCCAAACTTCGACAGCGTCGACACGATGCCAGTAAGATGATCCCACCGCGCCTTCGAGCAGATAGTAAATGGCGGTGCTGGCAGACCGAGTGCTATTGCCTGAGCTTCTTGTAACCAAGTCAGTGTCCTCAAAGGTCTGCACATAATAGCCTTTCTCGTCATTAGGGATGAGTTTGAGTTGCGCGATGACCTCCTGAGCGCTGCGCTGATTTATTGGGATTGATGAGTCGTATTGCACACTAACACCACGAGCCCCTATCGCGCTTACGAGCAACAAGCCCAGTGGGCTGAGGAGTGCCGAATTAAGAAGCATGATCCGATGTTGCCGTGGCTAGAGACGTGGGATGTGTAAACAGAAGGTCCATAGAGATGGCGGATGAGAAGGGTAAGATGATATAAGTTTTGATTAATAATAATATGGCTTATAATTAAAATGAAGACAACCGTGATGCTGACAACGGCCGTGCGTGAGGGATCGCCAATGCTCCTATTGGATATATATACGGTGACTGCTTACGGGACTTATTTAACAGTCTAACCTAGATTTGTTATAGAAACTGGGGAATACATACATGTAACCTAGGTATGTAGGCTACAAATACAGGAAAGCGCTTACAAGCAATTGATCAGGTTATTCATGCGAGGTAGATATATATACTGCAATAATTAAATTTGCCTCGTCTTTATTGCTCTCCATAACCGCCACGGGAGCTTCCAACTGCTGGTCACCGTAAAGGGGTCGAAGTTCTGGGCTTCAAGCCGCGCCAAGTAATCGCTAGCTGGGATAGCTTCCAGCATGACGTTGAATCCTCGTTGGAGATCTCGTTTAGTGTCATCGTCTCCATGAGTCGATAACGGGTATTCGTGTTGCTCTTCGTCGTGGTGTTCGTATTCATGGCCGGGGCTTTGCCCTGCGCGGAGATTTTTCAACATCTCTCTTGCAGTGATCAAGTGATCATTAGCCCGGGTCGCGACTTTGAAGACGGCATCTTGGAAACCATCTGCACGAGGGCCATGTCGGTAGACGTCTTCCTCTTTCAGACCAGTCTCCGCCATGACATCTAGCGGTAATAATAGGACTGGGTTCCTACCACTCCGTACACTAGCTCCATAGGGTGATTTAACAGGCGGCGAGGGGGCTGCTAAGACCGGGACACCTCGAAGGATAGCTACAATACCACATGCTTTCCCAATATGACTAGCTAAATGGTCCATATGCATGGAATTAATAGAGAGTGCTGCTAGGTTTGAATACATAAGGGTTGAGTATGTATTCTCTGCATACTCTTCTAATGAAGCTAGACTGGTAAACGGTTTGTTGTCCATATACTGTTCTCGAGTATTAATCAGGCGCAGTAACCAGAATTTGATAGAGCTTGGCGTGCCGCCCATCTCAGTGAGCTCCGAGATAACCTTGTGCAATAAGATCATAATAGGTTCTTTTGGAGGCTTGCCGGCAAATGTGTTGTCGACAGCATCCCGCCAGAATTGCATCCTCATCAGACCAATGGTGGGATTTGATACAAGCTCTGGAAGCCGAACCAGCTCAAGATTAAAAGCTCGTAACGCATCGTAAACATCCTGTCTCTGTTTGGGTAGAATGTTCCGAATTAAATAAGAATCGTAGTCGGACTGTCTATTATAATTAGCCCTATTTATCTAAAGCATTCTGCTATTCTGTCATTCTGTAATTCTGCCATTCTGCCAGAGAGCGCCAAAAATCCTACCTCAGCTGTGCAACACAATACTGTCTTGCCTTATCTACATCGACATCGGTTACATAAGATCTTTGTGAGAATCGTAACTGATGTCTAGGCCATCGAAGACCTGAACGTGCCCGAGTCGCACGATACATAAGAAACCGATGTTATATCAAACAATCCATCGTATTATGAGTTCGAGTTGCGAAGTGAAAATCCTCGCTATGTTAATTTTTTCCGGAGTTAGTGACTTTGGTTCGGCATAAAAATGATATCATGCTGCGGGATGTGGGGGTAAGGGGGACTTCCTCCCCACTTTTAACTTTAAATTGAAACGCGGTCACCTGATAATCGCGTTGAAAGAGTCGCGTCTCGATCAATTAATTACTAATTGGGAAGTTTTCGGCGGAGCGCGTTTCTGTGCTTGCCGTGGTACATGTACGTACGTAGTAAAGTTATAGCAGAGCCAAGATTGTCGCTACTTCCACTATTCATTCGATCTTTTGTTATGTACCAGTAACATCCGCTAATTCTCCATTATCCATCCAATTTTCTTCATCGCGTTCCCTTTGTCAACCGACTACTTATACACTACGCACGACTTACGGGCATTCCAATGAACTTATCATGAGTATAGAAGATTCGGGAGAACCCCCCGCTAAAAAGAGGAGGTTTTTCGCAGATCCAGAGGACGAGAGTAGTTCAAGTCGACACTACCTACAGAACACGTCTCCTCTCGTAGAGAAGACCATCGACGATGTTACCAACCAGGTATCGACAACGAGTGCCTCTAGCGCATATTCGCTAGAGCCTACCTCTGCAACGGATCAAGGGATGAGTTTTGACGAGAACACGTTCCAAAGTATTGTGGGAGATAATGTTGATTCAGAGGCGCTTAAAACTATCGGCGAAAACTGCGGGAATGACCTTGGACGGGCTGTTAATATGTATTTCGATGGGACATGGAAGAAATATCGTTCTCGACAATCCGTAAACAAGACTGCTGCGCTTTTCCTGCCGAGGGATTCTTCGGCCACTATAACTGATAATTCTAAGCAACCTGATCCCCCGCCGGCGCGACCCCGACTGTCGCAATTAACGCCTAATAGTCGCTATATTGGTGCATTTGGTGTTGAAGGATGGGCTACTCGAAGCGGAACAAACCTATTAAATCACGGAGATGTCGTTAAAATCGAGCGCCAGAAGATTCAACCACCAGGCGCATCACTCAAAGCAAAGAACAAGGGGAACTCACCTCTACCGACCCGAGTAAACTCTGCTGCTGCTAGACGTGTCGACGTTATTGTGCGATTCACCGATTCTCGAGGGACGGAAATTGGACGGCTAGCCAAAGACACGGCAAACTGGATATCTTCGCTGATGGATCAGAAAGTCTGTAGGTTTGAAGGTAGTTGTGTGTATGCACCAGAGAGACTAAGAACAAATGACACCGTATTCCTCCAATTACGGTGCTTCTTAATGAGGTCCGCTTTCCAGAACACAGGATTTCTGATGTCAGACAACCGCTCAACCGGTCTTTTTGAGGAAAAGGAAACTCATGAGGAGCGGGACTTGCGCTTACGACAAGTAGCGCTCGTGCGGTTGTTTCAGGAGATCAACCTTGCGCCGTCAAGAGGCAATGCAGCCGCTGCCAGAAGTGCGCGACAAAATCTTCTCGGTGCTGCTGAGATTGCTGAAAAAAAGAGCAACGATGTATCCAGACCTACAAATCCTGGTTCGTCACCACCCTCGGAGGATGCCGAAGATGGTCAGGAACTCGAGCAAGATCAGCTTGATGCTCTATACCGGAAAGCCCAGTCGTTTGATTTCAATACACCCGAGGCTGAACCAGCTGAATCCTTCGATATGACACTTCGTCCATATCAGAAACAGTCATTGTATTGGATGTTGGCGAAAGAGAGAGACCGGAAGAACGAGGTCCGTGGGGCATCGATGCACCCTCTCTGGGAAGAGTACTCTTGGCCTACCAAGGATGTCGACGATCAAGAAGTTACTCAAGTTGATGGCCAACCTAATTTCTACATGAACCCGTACTCGGGCGAGATGTCGTTAGACTTTCCTGTCCAAGAGCAACACTGCTTAGGTGGTATCCTTGCTGATGAGATGGGTCTCGGTAAGACGATTCAGATGCTAAGTCTCATCCATTCGCACAAGTCCGAAGCAGCAATACAGAATGCGGGCACATCCCTCAGTTCTGTTAATGGCTTACGGAAACTTTCTTCTAAATCTGGTATCGTTTCGGCACCTAAGACTACCCTTGTGATTGCCCCGATGTCACTACTTGCACAATGGCAAAGTGAAGCAGAAAATGCATCCAAGGAGGGTACCTTGAAGTCTATTGTCTATTATGGCACTGAAAAGATTGATAATCTCCAAGCCCTCTGCTGTGATGCTAATATGACCTCTGCCCCTGATATTGTAATTACGAGCTATGGTGTAGTTCTTTCCGAATTTACTCAAATCGCATCCAAGACAAGCAATAGAGACTCGCACAATGGTCTGTTCTCCTTAGACTTTTTCCGGATTATCCTCGACGAAGCCCATACCATCAAAAACCGCCAGTCGAAGACTTCAAAAGCATGCTATGAACTTTCAGCTACGCACCGTTGGGCTCTCACAGGAACTCCCATCGTAAATCGTTTGGAGGACCTGTTCAGTTTAGTCAGGTTTCTTAGAGTCGAGCCATGGAATAACTTTTCGTACTGGCGGACATTTATCACCGTTCCATTCGAGTCTAAGAATTTTGTGCGTGCCCTCGATGTGGTGCAAACAGTATTGGAACCCTTGGTGATGAGGAGAACGAAAGACATGAAAACGCCTGAAGGACAGCCGTAAGCTACGATATGCTCATTATATTCAAGGATTGTAGTACTAATTTTATTTAGTCTTGTCCCCCTACCCCCGAAGTCAATAGAAATTGTTGAGGTAGAGCTCTCAAAAGCCGAGCGGGATATTTACGATTACGTATTTACTAGAGCCCAACGTACATTCTCCGCCAACTTCGAAAAAGGTACGGTCATGAAGGCCTATACCACTATCTTTGCTCAGATCCTCCGCCTGCGCCAAACATGCTGCCACCCAACCCTGGTTAGGAACCAGGATATCATCACCGAAGAGGAAGCCGCCGGGGCGGAAGCCGATGCAGCCGCAGGTCTCAGCGACGATATGGATCTCCAGTCCCTAATAGAGAGATTCACAGCGACTACCGGCGACGAGAAAGATACGAATGCTTTTGGTGCCCATGTCCTTCAGCAAATTCGGGATGAGGCAGCAAACGAATGTCCTATCTGCTCAGAGGAGCCGATGATTGATCAGACGGTTACCGGCTGCTGGCATTCTGCTTGTAAGAAATGCCTGTTGGATTTCATAAAACATAATACGGATCGCCACCAAGTTCCAAAATGCTTTAATTGTCGCGAGCCTATCAACAGTCGCGATCTCTTCGAAGTGATTCGGCAGGATGACGACCCAGAAACTATACAGGCCTCGCCCAAGATTAGCTTACAGCGCTTAGGGTCAAATGAGTCCTCGTCAAAAGTTGTCTCGTTAATGAAGCACTTACGTCAGTTACGTAGGGAGCACCCACGTATAAAATCAGTCGTCTTCAGCCAGTTTACATCATTCATGTCACTCATCGAACCCGCACTCACGAAAGCCAATATGCGATTCCTCCGCCTCGACGGTTCCACCAACCAAAAGACCCGCTCCGCTATCCTAAATGAATTTAAGGAGTCCAATAAGTTCACCATTCTACTGTTAAGTTTGCGG